ACTCTTGTAAAGAATCAATAAAGATAATTTTGGATTCAGAAGGTAAAAAAGCTTTGCATATATTAGATAATTTAAGAGCAATTTGGTATTTGATATAGTTGAATGTTTTTTCCTGATCAATATTATAAAATTGTCATTTGTAAATATTAAAAAATTTTTCAAACCAGACTTTAAATTCTGATAAATGATTTTTTAAGAATAGAATTTGAAAGGTTTGAAGAAATCTTTTTTTAGATATATTGAGAGAAATGTTAATGTTAAATATATCATCATTTTGAATTTTAAAGAGTGATTGATTAATATTGTCTTTACTAAAATTATAATGTAATTTAAAGTAGATAGAATAAAGTTTAAGGTTTTCATAAAACTTTTCTGCATGAATAGTTTTATATTTGTTATGAAGAATAAGATGTAAGTAAGCCAAATTAAGAGCTACTTGTTTCTGGTTAGTAGTAGTATATAGAGGAATAGAATTTTAAGAAATAAAAATTTTTAAATAATACAATTAAGTAAATAAAGTTGTAGTAAATTCTTTAAGGAAAGAGATAAAGGTAGAATAAATTAGTTCAAATTGAATAGATATTGATTTGTTAATTGTAGAGTTTGCTTTATAGATGAGATTAGTTAAGAATTTGGATTTTTTGTTTACTAAGGTTTTAATTAAATATTTGTAATTAAGTTTTAATTCAGAACTTGTATTAGATGCTAGTTGAATGATTTTTTCCTGAATAGATGTCAATGAGGTGTAGTTTAATAAAAGTAAATAATTGTTGAATAATTAGATTATTGAATTTGGTATTATTTTTCATAGTATCAGTTACTGGGTATTCTTTAAACCAGTCAAGTTTATTACTAGTATCTCTTTGAGTTTCTTTTTTCTTTTGTTTTTGTTGTTTGGAATACTATTGTTTTTTGTTTTTTTTTTAAAAGAAGTAATTTAAGAAGTTAAATTTTTTCATTAGATTTCATTTGTTGAATTTTAATAAGAGCAAGAATTAGTTTTTGTTTAAGAGTAAGAGAAGGAATAATTTGTTTTTTAGATTTAAAAAAAGAAGTTAGTGTGTTTAAGCTAATTAGTTTGAATTTGATTAAGGCTATAACTATTTGTTGTTGAAATATAAGAGAAGAGGTTTGTGTCAAAGGTTTAAGTTTAATATTCAATAAACCAGAAACACAAAGTCTGTAAATTAGATTTTGCTTAAAGATTATGCAAATTGCATAGTTAGAAGCATAGATACTTTGTTTTGTAGCTATATAAAAAATATTTTTAGTTTTGCATATAAGACATATATAGTAGTGTTGAGAGTATACAACAATTACAGAAGATGTAGGGTCTATTTAAAAATTGAAAAATAATATACAAGGTTTGGAAAAAGATAGATTAGATTGTTATTGTTTTGGAATAGATGATTGAGATAGTTTATTAGAAATTTTTCTAAAATGGTTAACAGAGATGATAGAAGAAGTTTGAATTGTAAGTTGTTCAAGAGAAGTAGAGTAAGGAATTCTGTAAAACTGAGAAGTAAAATTAGTATAATATATTTTACAAAGGCATATAGCAATGATAGGTTGTTAAGGGACTTTAAAATAATAATGTTTTTTAGTAGTATCACAATTAATTAGATTAATGTTTACTAGAAATACATGTAAAGATTGAGGTTTTCTTTTAATTATTTCTACATCATGATGATCTTTATATTTATCATAGTAGTAGTCTATATTATAGAAATTAGGATCTTCAGAGACTAAAGTAGGCATAGTTTAAAATTTGAAAATTAAAAACAAAGTAGATAATAGAGATCTTGGATGTAAAAGGATTTGAAAGATATAGAATATGACAACTAAGAGGTATGACAATTAAGGAGTATGACAAATAAGAGATATAATGAATAAGAGGATATGACAAATAAGAGGATATAACAAATAAGTAGCATAGAGTGTGCAGACTAAGTGGTTGCAATGATTGATGTTAAACAAATTTTTGTATTAGTTAATTGAACCAAAAATAGAAAAAATTAAAATTTGTATTAAGTTAATTAATAATATAATTTTTGGTAGTGATCTGTAGGTGCTAGGCATCCTAAGATACAGAACTTCTTCAAAAAAAGAATAAAAGTTTTGTAAAAAGTTTAAAAGTTTTTTGTATAAAACCTTCAATATTAATTCAATATTAATGTATAATATATTAAAATGAAGCTCTAAGTGAGCTTTGTCTTTTTGTTTAAGATAGTAACTAAGGTTAGTTTAGTAAATTATTAAAAAATTATAGAAAAAGTAATTTGCAGTTTAATAAATATATCTCATTGTACAAAGGTTTAGAAGATATAAAACTAGGTTATCTATATATAAAATTTAATTATAAACAATTTTACTTAGGAGTCCAGAGAAAATTTATTTAATAAATTATTTAGTTAGTGCCAGTTTATTATTAGAAAATTTTGGTATAAGTGATCATCGGAAAGAGTTAATGATTTGCATTCAATATAAATTTTATTATCTTAATTTTTTAATTTTCTATACTTATTAATCTTATTATTATTATTATATTTTTTTTGATATTAAGGTAACCTCTTTGGTCTTTTAACTTTTATTAATTACTTATCAGTATTATAGTTTAATAAACTATTACAAAAGAGTATACAATTAACTATACATATAACTTTTCTATATTACTTATTTAAGAAGTCTGCTCAAAGATTTTTTACTAATTACTATATCTAACACCTCTGCTTGGATGTTTACTTTAAATACTCTGAACCTGTAAGCTGTGTTAACTTACTAGATTATACTCAGATGCTTAGATTATCATCTTAACCTTAGGACTAATTTATTTTTAAAGTAAACCCTCTAGAACCTTCTATACTTATTTTTATAGCTGACTTAGATATTGATATGACAGAACCAATACTTGTAATCAGGACTTAATCATTAAAATACTATGCCCTTATAGAGTTTATTTAAACCCTAACATCTATTTTATAGCATAACTTTGATACTTTAGTATACTCCTAAATTTTATCAGACTTCCAATTCAATAGCTCATATAGAATTACAACTATTCTATTAATATATTAGATCAACTTAATATTTTTTTTTCTGGTTCATTTTGACAGTCTAGTTGATAATATCTCTAAGACTCCCAATCTGAAGGTTCTTGTCTGTTTGATTACTAAGACTTGAGTATCTGTTTCTCTGTGCTAGCCTTTACAGTAATACTGTTAAAGATCTAGCTATTTCTCTATTTGGATTTTTTTAAATAACTTCTTATTATATAATTTCAACAGATTTACATGATCACAAGAACTTATCTAATGTTTGTATCATCTGATTTGTTAGTTTACATTCTTCTATATAACTTCAATATTGCACAAATGCTCTATGACCTGCCAGTCATGCTGGTGTAACTACTATTACAAATATTCTAACTCAATTATTAATAACAATTGTTATAATACAAATATTAAATAGATAATTATCCAAATTTTTGCTATTGATAAGATTAAACACCCAATCTGCTACTTGAAAGATTGACAATCTAATCATTTTACTAGGTCACTACACTTCTAATCTTATTATAAATTTATATTAAAATCTTATATAATACTAATTATTAATATTCTTTTATATATATATAACATTACATTTCACATAAATGCTCTAAGCTTTCAATGTTAAATAAAATCTAACTTAGTATACTTAAGTTATAGCTACATAAAACTAACTAATCAACAGAAAACAGTTATTATAATATAAATATAATTTTCAAATTTTGTCATAAATAAAATTTGAACCTTAAACCTGCTGTTTAAAAAATAACAACCTAATCACTACACTAAAATTACTATCCTTTACATGTAACCAATTATATACTCTTTCTGTAATAATTTTTATATAAAACTACATTACCAAAAATATTAATAAAGTTAAAAAACCCAAAAGGTTACCTTAATACAAAAATAAAAATAAAAATTTGAACAAAATATATATATATATAACTTATATATATAGTAAATATACTTAAAATTTTTTCAAGTTTTATAAAATTTGATATAACTGGCTATAAAAACCAATTTATTAAATTTGCATAACTTAATAGTTAAAATGGTATATAAATTTTTTTTTGGCCAGTACTTAAATACTCGATTATCCTAGCACATTAATTAAAGATTATATAATTTCTGATTTTATATACATATATAATATAATTGTTTAAAACAATTATATCAGTATATTATATGTATTATAAAATCAGACATCAGGTAATCGAATATTCAAGTATTTACCAAAAAAAATTATTATGCTATTTTCGACTATTTCAAAAGCAGCACTAATTAGTGATCTAAATCCAAATTTACATATTAGTAAAATAAATGCAAAACTATATAGCATTATTGTATGTACGTACATACATACACTTTGACAGAAATATTCGATCACCTAAGAACAAAAAACTACTTTATCATTATAGAATTCTATAGGTGGTTGAATACTTTTGTTCTCTATGCGAGATAATGTGAATATTGCAGATTCAGTAGATTGGTTTTATATCCAAATTTGAATCCAATCCAAATGCCATAAAAAAATTTTTTTTAGAAGTCTAAAATTGTCTAATCGCGTAATCGCGTGAATAAACACGAAATTTTATTTCGTGACATACACATGCACATTACCCCTGGGAGGATATTCATATGATTGGCTAATGTAAATCAATTGTCTGGGTAATTTATTTATATACTTTAAAGTACACTTGAGAACGTAAAATTTCAATAGCAAATAACTGATAATGAATGTGGATTACCTACATAGCAGATAGTAAATCCGTTACGTAGATCACATGACGGTTAAATTCACTTTAGCATAATAAAAAACATAGCCAAACGCGGATTTCACCTTAACGTGATCTACTTAGAGAATTTTACTAATTTACAGCGCGGGTTTTACCCAGTCTTATAAAATCACTGTAAAGCTACAGTTTTCAACATTAATATTAAATACACAAAATGATCTCAAACGATATGTCAACAAGCGATGAGGTCATAACGACCGAGGCGGAAAATGATCAGACTTCAAATACGTCCGATGTTGAGTCAGATGTGGTATTTAACATAATCATTATACGTGTTCAATCTTATTTTCTTTTACTTGCCTAATATTCGGTCTGTAAAGAGCTCTACAAATTCGGGTGAAGATAAGAAAGCCAAACTTCAACGACAAAGACAAGAACGGAAAGCCCAAAAACAAGTTTTAGAGCAGGATGCACGAAAGCTTAATCAAAATAAAGTATATTGATATTTCTTCCAAACAAACTTTATCTTTGATCTCATAAAATTGATCATCTCATATTTTTTTTGGATATAGATCAGAGACACTGCAAGGCGGTATCAATTTTTGCTTGGTCATTTAGGTATCGCATATATTTTATATTTTAACATGCTATTTTAGGTTCGTATCGAATTGGATCATTATTAATCAACGCCTATTTATTTTGTTTTAGAATTATTTTCGCATTTCATTGATTTAAAGGTATTAAAAAATTATTTCATACGTTCTGACGTAAAATGCAAACTTTTAATAAAGCATTTTAATAATTTCAGAAAACGGAAGATGAAGATTTTAAAGAGCTTGTCGAAGAGAGTGAAAAACTTAATAACTCAATAAAAGAATCATCCGGGTAATAACATATAGGCATATTCTTTTACATTTGATATACCATAATTTATAGTAATGTAATTACTTCAGATCCCGGCGTCATCGAAAAACTGAAAAGGAGGAAGATGAGGTTTGTTCCATTATATCTATCCTCATTTTCTTTTCTTCATGGTGTCGTAATTGATGTTCCTACTTGATGTAGGAATTGCTCAAAGATGAGGCAGACGAATCACCGGGTGTTACGCAGGTTTTTACTGAGTCACCGAGTTGTAAGTGTTGGATAAACATAATACTATAATTCTATGTGACACATTTTGATAAAAGCGAGATTTATTATATAATCTTTCTTGAAGTTATTAAGAACGGAACAATGCGCGATTACCAACTTCAAGGTCTTAATTGGATGATATCACTTTTCGAAAACGGGATCAACGGAATTTTAGCAGATGAAATGGTACGTAAATACACATTAAAATCCATATACATTTGGTTTGTAAATTCATATAATATCTTCAAAAAAATTTAGGGCCTTGGAAAAACCTTGCAATCGATCTCATTTCTTGGGTATCTTAAATATGTTCGAGATATACCTGGCCCTCATCTTGTCGTTGCACCGAAATCAACATTACATAATTGGGCAAAGGAATTTAATATGTGGATTCCGGATTTCCATATAGTTGTTCTGCACGGAAACAAGAAAGAAAGGGTAAATAAATGATACTTTTTATGTTATATTGGTTGATTAATAAAATGTTGGTACTAACTATTATAGCAAATAGGCAGATATAATTTCCGAACGATTAATGCCTAAGGATTTCCAAGTTTGCATAACATCTTACGAGATGTGTTTAATAGAAAAAGCTGCGTTAAAAAAATTCGCATTTCAATACATCATAATTGATGAAGCTCATCGAATCAAAAACGAAAACTCATTGCTTTCTCAGATAGTTAGAATTTTCAAATCGAGGAATCGCTTATTAATCACTGGAACGCCGCTTCAAAACAACCTTCACGAATTATGGGCTCTTCTAAACTTTCTTTTACCAGACGTTTTTAGTTCTTCTAAGGATTTTGATTCTTGGTTTAATTCTCAAGGTGGCAATCAAGACAATGTAGTACAGCAACTACATAAGGTAAAGGAAATAGATTCAAAAGTCATTTGATACCCTCTGTATATAATTCAATAGATTCACTGGTTTTTAGGTATTACGACCTTTTCTTCTCAGGAGGATAAAATCCGATGTGGAAAAATCCTTACTTCCAAAAAAGGAGGTTAATATATATGTCGGAATGACCTCCATGCAAAAAAAATGGTATCAAAGGATTTTAGAAAAAGACATTGCCGCAGTTAATGGTGAGAAGTCGTTACTTTTTTATTTTTATTTTGAAATTTATTCCATGTTAGCAGTACTAATATTATTTCTAATTGACTATTAAGGTGCTGTAAGTAAAAGTGAAAGCAAGACACGCTTATTGAATATTGTAATGCAACTTAGAAAATGTTGCAATCATCCATATCTTTTTGATGGTGCCGTAAGTATTTTTTTTTGTTTTTTTCTTATAATACTCGTAATTATTAATTATAAATCAATTACGGTTACTTGCAGGAGCCTGGTCCACCTTATACAACTGACGAACATCTTGTTGATAATGCAGGTGATTATTTTACGACCGTTCTATCAATTTTAATTGATAACAGCTGTTGAAATACATGTTTAAATCGTTGCAACGTTTAATACAGGAAAAATGATAGTATTGGATAGGCTTCTCAAAAGATTAAAATCACAAGGATCACGTGTTCTTCTGTTCAGTCAAATGAGTCGTGTTCTTGATATACTAGAAGATTATTGTATATTTCGGGATTTTGGTTAGTATTAATTTTCCATATTAATTGTATGCTATTGTCTACGCGCACTTAATACTCAATTTCAATTTCCTGAATAAGAATACTGTCGTATTGATGGTCAAACAAAACAAGAAGATCGGATAACAGCCATAGACGATTTTAATGCGCCTGGAAGCAGTAAATTCGTTTTTTTGCTCACAACACGTGCTGGTGGACTCGGAATCAATCTCACAAGCGCAGATATCGTGATACTTTACGATAGTGATTGGTATGAATTATTCCGCTAAGAGTTTTTAGCCTACCATTGTATTAATTTGGTTATTATTCTACAGGAATCCACAGGTTGATTTACAAGCCCAAGACCGTGCACATCGTATTGGACAAACCAAACAAGTATATGTTTTTAGATTTGTTACTGAAGTATGGAGTTTATTTTATTTTATGTAACTATTTGTATTGTTAAACTGTTATTAATTCGTATTAATTGTGTTATATATTGCATTTAGAATGCTATTGAAGAAAAAGTCCTGGAAAGAGCTGCTCAAAAATTGCGATTAGATCAACTTGTTATTCAGCAAGGCCGACTGACTCAATCACAAAAAGGTAAATTGTAGTCTCAAATAGTTTATTAGATGTTCACGTATAACCATATTGACATGTAAATGTGTATCATAGCTGCTACTAAGGGCGAGCTTTTGACAATGATTCAACATGGTGCAGAAAATGTTTTCAATTCCAGTGACAGGTATTAAAATGAATATTTTCTGCATACAGTTAAATCATTTGACCGAATTTAATCGTGTTCCCTTTGTAGTACTGTGACAGATGATGACATTGAGAGCATTTTACGTAGAGGCGAAGAGAAAACAGCTGAACTTAGTAAGAAGTATCAGAGTCTCGGATTGGATGATTTACAAAACTTTACGTCTGAGTCTGCTTATCAATGGCAAGGGGAAGATTGGAGTAGTAAGGTTTGTTATTTCTCCTTAAAAAGAATTAATAACAATAATAATAATAGTAGTGCCTAACTTTTACCATTATTCAGCGCAAGGGTCAAACATCGCGCTTTAGTTGGATTGAACCGCCCAAACGAGAACGTAAAGCAAACTATGCCGTTGATTCATATTATAGAGAAGCATTGCGGCTTACAGCCAAACCAACTCAGCCTAAAGTACCCAGAGCACCTAAACAGATAGTTATGTTTGTATCATACTTTGCATATATTGATAAATTACAAATTATTTTACGATATTAGTTATTTTATATATATATATACTTTTTTTAGCAACGAATTTCAATTCTACCCCCCACGGTTAATAGAATTATTAAAACGAGAGATGTATCATCAACAAGTATGTTTCTTTTGTGTGTGCGCGTCAAGGTTATTTAGATTCTGAAGTTGATATCTAATTTATATATAGAAAATAGCGGGCTATAAAGTTGCTTTGGCAGAACCCCAGGGTGAGAATGAAGATGACATAGAAGCTCGGGAAAGAGAACGCCAAGAAGAGCAGACCAAGATTGATAATGGTATAATTTAAGCTTCGGTATCATTAAATCTACGGTCTAAACTAAGCTTTCATATTTAAAATTATAAATCTAGCTGAAGCATTGACTGAAGAAGAAGAAGCAGAAAAAGAAGCATTAATGGAAAATGTATGCGAGCTTTGTGTTGTCTGTTTATTTATCATCAAATAATTTATATTTTATTTTTATAGATTTTCGAAGACTGGAGTAAAAGAGATTACAATAATTTTGTGAATGCATCTGCTAAATATGGGAGGTATGCATTTGAAGGAATTGGCTATATCAACATTGTTAAATATTGACATTATTTGATAATCCGTCGCAGAAATGCACTTCAGGAAATAGCTTCCGAAATAGAAGGTAAAACTTTAGACGAAGTAAAAGCATATGCTAAAGTCTTTTGGCAACGTTATCAGGAATTACCTAGTATGTTTATACTTTAATTGTTAAGTTGGTTTGATTAAGCTACATAAACAACTTAATTGACTTTAAAACGTATAAAGATCATGAAGAAATTATTGCAAAGATTGTTAAAGGAGAAAGTAAACTGCAACAAACAGTTGGTATTCAGGAATTACTCAGAGCGAAGGTGGCACAATATCGAACACCCGGTCATCAATTGCAGGTATCAAATCAAGCAAAGGGAAAGACATTGTTTTCGGAAGAAGAAGATCGATATCTGTTAATTGCACTCGCAAAATACGGATATGGAACTGAGGATGTGTATGAGAAAATACGGAACGAAATTGAAAATGCTGAAGTATTTAGGTTTAATTGGTTTATCAAGTCGAGGACCGCTGGAGAGATTGCCCGACGTTGTACCACACTTATCAATCTTATACAAAAAGAGCATGGCGAAGAAGAAGCAGCGCAACCTGTACAGGAAGAAAAGAAAGTAATTATGATTATTATTTATTTAGAGCATCATTTTTGGCATCGCATAAGATTTGATAACTCAATATTACATTTAATAGCGAAAGGTCAATTCCGATTCTTTTATAATCTCCAATGGCAGCACCCCTGCTAAGCGTGGTAGACATTGAAAATTATAAAATCTAATAAACACATTTAATAATAAGCCAATAAAGTTCCAAAACAGTGTGGATATAAGATTCTAGGAAAACTACATTGTTGTACTTTAATTATAATGAAAATTTCATAAAATTTAGAAAAGCTATCAAAGCTTACTTGATTGAATTCAAGATTATATTAAACCTTGATACTATATACAATTTTACAGATATACATTTTTTTCAATTCTCTAATATTGCATTATATTTAACTTCAATTCATTTAAGTATTAATAACATCGATATTGCCCAAATGCTACTTTTAATTAATCATTTTCTATAAAGTTAAAAAAAATAAATCTCATTAACGTTAAGTTCATACGTAGATCAATCGCATGCATGTTCGGATTTTTTTTTTACAAAATTTTTTATTGGATGCAAAAAGAAAAATTACTACGCAGAGCATTTGTAAACTTAGTGGAAATTCACGATTTTGGCTAGCTATCACGATTAAAAATTAGGCCAAAATTACTCAAATTTTTACTAATGAAATTAGTGTTCCGCAAAACCGAACCGAAACCCGAACCCGCCCTTCGGGTCGATTTTCGGTTCACAATTTTTAGAACCGACCGATTCTGGGTCTTAGATGACGGGTACCCGATTAACTCGCATAAATCCGCATATATTAATCACCTGACCTTGAACGAATAGAATGTTAGTGATCGATATAATAGAGCTCAAAAAATTTCTCAGAAATTCTTTGTGCGTTAGACGTGTTAGACATATATCTTTTATCCGTAAGATTTTAACAGTTGCCTTACCATCAAGAGCAATAGAACTATTTTCTTCAACCTTCAGTGAATACAATATTGGTGAAATTAAAATATAGTAAAAGTTACAACTGATTGTATTGAAGATAAAGGACATTTACTTTTTTTTTTTTACCAAATCAGCCATTTGCCTTTTTTTTTTTTTTTTTTAAAACTCCAAGCATAGTACATATAAGCATATCTGTCTATCCTTCTCAAATTTTGTGAATTATCATTTTCATACAATATAAAGTTTCTTTAATTTTTTTTTTTTCTTTTAAAATACATGCTTTCTAGTTTCTTTAGTATGAATGATTCTAATGATTGCATAGACAATATCTATATAGATGACTTTCACCTTATAGATAATAATATCTATATGGATAATTCCTTTATAGAAGTAGACAACTCTCATGAAGATCCCTATGTTAATGAATCTGATAACCTGAAAACAGGTAACTCATCACAAGTAGAATCAGTTGTCAGCAACAAATCTTCTTTATGTGTTAGATTATTTGTATAGAAATATTTTAAGAAGGAAAAAGATGGTTCTTTCGCAAAGTGTAGTTTTTATCATTCCAAAAAATCAATAAAATGTGTTGATGATTTAACATCAAGTCTTTGAAGACATCTTGTTATATATAAAGGAAAGGTGCTTGAATTGAATAACAAAGAACCCAATGTCTCTGTTATGGATTTGTTAAGAAATCAATGATGTCCTCATAAACCATTTGATTTAAAAACATTTAAGACTCTTATTAAACATTAGATTATTAAGCATAATTATCTATTTAATATCATTGAAGATAAAGGTCTTAGAGATATATTTATATATTTAGAATCTAAAGCAACTGCATCTTCAGCAGACCTGGTTAAAAGACATATTATGGTTGATTTTAAGAAAGAATATAAGAATCTTTAAGAAAAGCTATGAAAATTCTCTGAAAATTTTTCTATTACTATTAATATATAAATGATGAATACAAATGATAAGTTATTTATGATGGTCACTCTCTACTATATAGACAAATTTTGGAAATTAAAATGTATTCTCTTAGATTTTATAAATATGGATGGATTACACAAAGGTTCTGAAATTGCCAAAAATATAGAAGATTGTCTTTAATCAATGAACATTATATCAAAGTTAATAGCAGTTATGCATAACAATGCATCTTCTAATATCAAATTTATACAGGATTTTCTAATTTAATAATATGACTTGGTTTCAGTTTGATAGCCAACAACAATCCATAAGATGTTTTGGACATGTTCTAAACCTTGCTGTATATAGTTTTCTAAATGTTTTAGGAAATGAACTTAAAAAATTATAGGAGTTAATTAAAAGTATCTGAGGATCACAATTGCATCGTAAAATGCTAAAAACTACCTGTTTAGTCAATGACATAAATCATTTGAAACCTATTCTTAACATTGTTACCAGATGGAATTCCATGTATAGCATATATGAACAAGCAATAGCATTAAGAATGGCACTAGATACAATGACCCTTACTGATTCAGACTTGTGTTAATATATTTTATCAAAAGAGGAATGGGAAAAAATAAAGCAATTTGTTAAGATTCTTAAACCATTTCAGAATACAGTAACAATTATGTCAATATGGGAATATTCAACCTTAACTATAGTTGTTTCTTTATATTATATGCTTTTTGAAACTTTAAATGAAGTTAAAAGAAAAAATGGTGTACCATATTGGCTAATTCAAGGTTGTGAAGTTGCAGAACAAAAACTTATAAGCTATTGCAATAGAACAAGTATATTACATCTTTTATTTGTAATATTAGATCCACAGCTTAAGTTCTAATATTTTGAATCACTTAACTGGCCATCACATCTTATTAGTAGAATTAAAGATATTATCAAAAATAAATATAAAGATGAATATGCATCTTTTTTTGATCAATGCACATCATGTGAAACTACCATCACACAATCTATGATAATGATCTGGATTTTTAAGTGAACATATATAAATCAACAAAATGAATTGGATGTATATTTAACTATGCCATGTGTAAATTCAGATATTGATATATTAGAATAGTGGCAGACAAATAAAACAAGTTATCTTAATTTGGCAAAATTCATACAAGATTGTCTTTCGATTCTCACAATGAGTATTCCAAGTGAACATATATTTAGTATTAGTGGGAATATGATTACTGATATATGGAACTGGCTATGTGAGAAAATAGTAAGATTAGCAATATGTTTAAGATCATGGTAAAGAGGATTTCAGGATGAGCAAAATTAATTAAGCTTACAAACTTGAATAAAAATGTTATTTTTATTCTTATCCTTTTTTTTTTTTGAATAATCATGTTGAGTCAAAAAAAAAAAAAAAAGAACACAAGATATTCTTTTATTATCAAAATCTGCAAAATGAGAACTAACCAGATATTGTTCTTATAAACTTGGAATTGGTATTAAAATCGATCAAGAATTGAAATTGAATAAATAAAACATAGAACATTTTATTATTTCAAATTCTGTTACTTTTTTTTTTTTTTTTTATAAATTTTAAAATGAATAGCTTAAATGATTCTCTTATCAAAAATCTGCAAATGGGAATCTAGCTGAATGTTATTACAAATTTGGAATTGGTATTAAATTTGATCAATACAAAAGCAATTATACAGTTAAAATCAATGAACATAGGAAGTTTTATTATTTTCAAATTTTGCTATTTCTATTTTTTTTTTTTTTTTTTTTTTTTACATATATGCCTTAGATTGTAGACTTTTACAGACAAATTTGCCTGCATAATTGTATTTTTTTGGCTCTGATCTACTTTTTTAAAATATTAAAATATTTAAATAAAATTTGGTATAATAATATTTGAAAATAAGGATTACTTTTTTGCAGTATTTATTTTTAAATTATAAG